TTTGTTGTCCATCATAGTTTTTGCTATTCTAGGTCTCTTTTGGTTCCAGATGAATTTTAGGAATATTTCCTATAGATCTGTGAGGTTCTCTTAGTGAGTTTCTTTGTTCTTTGTGTACAAGAATGCTATTGATTTTTGATTGTTGACTTTGTATCCAGCTATGCTATTGAATCTATGAGTCTTTTGGTGGAGGTTTTGAGGTCCTCCATGTAGAGTATCATCTGTGAATAATGATAATTCACTTCCTCTGTTCCATCTTTATTCCTTTTATTTCTCTTACACTTTATTTTTTTATTTTGAAACATAAAAGAAGGAAAACACATAAATGAACAGACAAACATTTACAAAATAGCAAAACAACAATACAAACAATATAGAGTTACAAACAAAGTGGTAGGAAATTAACAATGCTTGCTGTATTGCATATTGATATCTTCAAGGTAGTTTCTCAGGAAAACTAATAGAGATATGTACTATTGATCAATCAAGTAATCATTAACTGTTTCTTTTAGTTTTTTTTTAACTTTAAAGAGTAAAAGAAGGATAACATAGTAATAGGGGGATTTACTGAATTACAGACAAAGTGGTAGGACATTATCAATTGTTGTTATTTTACTTATTGGTATCTTCAAGATAGTTTCTCAGGAGAACAAATAGACAAGTAATAGTGAGTTACAGACAAAAATAGTAGGAAACTATCAATTGTTGTTGTACTATACTTTGGTTTCTTCAAAGTGGTTTCTAGAGAAAACAAATAGAGTTTCTAGAGAAAACAAATACATGAGTGATCAATTAAATAATCATTGACTATTTTCAATGGTTGTTGTTGGAAACACATAGTAATAAACATACATCCATTTATGATATAACATAGGAACAATACAAACATTACAGAGTTATGGACAGATTGGAAGGAAATTATCAATGGCTGCTGTAATATATGTTGGTATCTTCAAAGTTGTTTCTCAGGAAAGCAGAGCTATGCAAGAAAGATCTAACAAGTAGTCACAGCCTAAGGATTGTGGGACTACCTCCTCATCAGTGACTCTCCTCACTGAGGTGTGACGGCTGGAAGGAAGGCCAGGATTGAAAAGGACTGAGAGACTAGCACCAGTGTCCAGCAACAGGTTGTTTACTTTTTCCTCTGTAGTCATGATTACGTGGGGCTCCTCCTTAGAGACAATGCTCTGGCCAGGGGGAGAAGACAGAGCATGCCCTGGGCCCTTTCACTCCTGCTGGAGCAGCTGACAGGAGGGGTCTGAGCTCCAGCCCCTTGGTCCCAGAGGGCAGTCTGATCTCCAGTGGTCACCTTTACAGTCAGGGCATGGCCCAGGGGGATTCTTAGGGTAGTCCCTCTTGAGGTGGCCTGGCTTTTGACAGCAGTAGCAGATGAATGTAGTTGATGAGTTCTTCTTGGGGCCCAGAGAATCAGACTTAGGGTCTGTTTCTTTTAGTGCTGCAACAAAGGCAGTTGTTTTTTTCTCGGTCTCTTTGTTTTCTCTCCTTGGCCTCCTCCTCCTCACGGCTATAAGATATTGAGGAGGCAATTCTTACTAACATCTCAAGTGACCTATCTGAGGCAAAAGCCATTTTTGTAGCTTTTTTCTACTATCTGGGGCTGACTGAGTAATAAACTTATCTTTAAGAATAGTTTGTCCCTCTACTGAAATGGGATCCAGGGAAGTATGCTTTTTCGATGCCTCCTGTCTAAGAAAGCTGAGCGGTGTTCTCTCTGGTCTCCCAGCGCATTGGGACGCCGCAACCACTTAGTGTCCTCTCCCCAACCGTCAGCACAGGTGGCAGGAACACGTGGATGAAGTCCTCGCTCTCTCCTCAGTCTCAGCACCATCAGGTGCTAAGTGTCCCAGGCAGGTAACCTAGACAAGCACCTTCTCCATGAAGGTGGTTCTTTGGAATCTTAATATCGGGCACCCATGTAATCCATGAAGTCTTGGTGCAGGCCTTTCTGGAGCCCCACTCACTGCTCCACAGCAGCCTGCGCTGTTAGGGGAAGAATGGCCTCCAGGGC